CAATAGCAACATATGATTTTGGAATCTTTTAGAATGTATTGGTTATTGAAATACAGAACTACATTAGGAAAATGGATGGTCCAGTCTCTGAGTGTAATTGCTCTCCTGATATTGCTCATTGAACATGGTTTTCTGGGAATCTTGAAAGAGACAAATTAAAATGTGCAGGCAGTTTCTCTCATATTCACAAGCACAAATAATAGATGTAACCCAGAGATTTGCTATGTTTAAGAAATACATTCTCAAAAGCACATTCATGCAGATTAATCCCTACCAAAACGCCCTCTCTGGCATCCAGCTTCTTGCACTCATTTGAAAGTGCTGCTGAATTTAAATGTTGGTTTGAATCAAATTATCAGACGTGCAGTTCACTTCAAAAGAGGAAGGCAGTTAAAAGAAGCAATTTGGTTTGCAGGAAGAAAGACCCTATTTAAAGGCACTATTAGCACTTTCTTTTTACATGAGCGAAAATTCAAAAGAAATTTGAACAAAGTGGCTTTGGGATCACATTCAGACCTTAAGGCAGATGTGCTTTTATAACACATTTTCCAAGTTATTCTTACAGATGCAGCAAAACCTCTTTTCATCACATTGTAGAGCAGATCACTTGTTCTAGAGTTTGTTTACAGGCCAGAGCAAAACACAATAATGCATTCTGGTATTATAAGGAAAAAAGGACATATTTCCCACTAATTTTCTTGTTTATCCTCTAAATGACTCAGGAAAGGCTTAAATGATATACTCTCCAACAACAATCTATATTTCTTAATGTCATCAGTAAACTGGGGTGCAAATCTCAAGTATCTATAATGGGGACAGCTCAGTTCAAAATATCGTATAAATTGCATAATTCACTACAGAATATGGAAACTCCACACTGAAGGTGTTTGAGGCCAGAACTGAGGTCAGGATCCAAGAGCTATAAGGAGACAAAGGCTAAACATCACATCACTGTGCTACCCCATCTAGAGATCACTTAAAACAGAAATCTAAATGTCTTTCAGCAGACAAACACCAGAGCTCCTTTAATTAACCAACTTACTCAATCGACCAATAACTGGCAGGTGTTGCACTTTTTTATTCTATATTTGTCTTTTCTTTCCTTAGAGAGAGGTATTCCTGCCAGGGAATTGCGCGACAAGGTTAATGAAATAGGGCAGCGTGTTTGTCGTGGTGCGTGTCTGTGAGATAAATGGAAGCACATAATTAAATAACACACACCCCACTAACCCATCACACGCACACATCCATACACCAGCGAGACATCGTGTTTATTTCATTCCGTCCCAAATCCTAGCCCATCATTAAGTGAAGGAGGGATCGCACACGACTTTATAACACACGTCCCCTCAGTCGGAACAGGTCGTTTAGCTAAAGAAAAGAGGGAATCGCGTTTTGCTCGGTTCAGAATACTAATTCAGGTTAAGAACCTTCCTCGACGTAACAGAATCGAGCAGTAATGGACCTATGAAGGTGATTTCCATCGGAGCGGGGAAACCATAGAAATGATCAAATCGAATTGTATTTTTTTTTAGAATGACAAATCATTCTCTCATTGGGTTAACAACTGTGGTTTGTCGGCTTTTTGGCCGTAGTTTATTCAAAAACAACAGCATACTGTATAACTAAGAAAAAAACTGACGATCTATCGTGGTACGTATGGGGATTAAAAATCACAAGCGCCCCCACCCAACACATAGACATACAGAAAAGAGAAGGGATACATACACAGTTAAATACTGTAACAGGAGGTTGTATCTCACTGTAGCTGGCGAGGGATGGAGCAGTGCGCGGTATATCCAGTGCGCGGAGCGCAAGCATGAATGCACAGTGATTTGAAACACATCCCCATTCATTCTTGTCTTTTGCAACTGCAACATGATATCCGTTACGATGCAGTGAATTGTGTGTATATTCATATTTGAACTACTCTATCTCCAAAGAGCATCATTCTTATACATATTCTAACAAGGAGCATGTTTTTAGATTTTAGCCAGATACGGCAGAAGAGCAGGGGGGTGTTTCCAGATGCAATTAAAGGATGCACTTAAATGATTTAAATGGAAGATCAAACTGCGATGATCACCCTTTCGAGACTGCCTGCTTGTTCCGTACAGTACATATTCACCAGACTGCTCCTTTCCCCAGTGCTCACCGTCTCCTGGTTTGGAATGTAAGGGCTAGGAGCGACTGCTGTGTAAAATCACGGGATTCTTCACTGAAAAGAAGAACTGTCTTCTGAAGCGATTTGAATACCCACAACAAGAAAGGGACGCTCTTTTTTCCTGAAGAGGTACAGTAGCATGCTATTCTTATTGTGTCACGTCTACCGCGCGGAATGTTGCCTATATATTCTGGGATCTGAATTTCAATATGGGTAATGTTGGGGCATACCTACCTTCAAATTTCACTTCCACTGGAAGGTAAGGTGGTGTACCAAAAACATGCTGTTCAAGTAAAAGCACACGCCGTTGGAGGAAACAACTTGAAATCTGGGTTGATTTAAGAACGGTTATTTGTCTTACACTTTCAACCTTTATATTCATGGAGGGTACTGTAGATCACTGTAGGGTACCGATGCATTATTATTATTTTTTTATTATTACGGTTTCATTTTGGTATTGAATCTTATCTTGTGTGAATTGTTTTTGGTGCAGTGTTAAGACATTATGGGAAAAGGATAAAAAACTTAAATGTTTTCAGCAGAACGTCTAGTTAAAATAATATAAATGGACAGAAAGTGTTTCGTGCTTTACCTAACAGCATTACGTAAGAGATGTACATAGCCCAGAATCTGAAGTAATTGTGAGGGAAACTGAACAGGGAGGTCGTAATGGAGAGTGGTATTCGGTCAGTATTGCACTATCAGCGTCTGGGATGAGTACTAGACCAATAGTTACTACGGAATGGCCAAACGCTGGAGCCGAGACACACGACGATTTAATGCATTAAGTGCCTTAGAATTGAAACCAGAGGGAATTGTTCCCGATCTTAACAATGGCTGTAATTAATTTCTACAGCAGTGATTTTAAGTTGCGGAAAACCTTTTTATACATAAGGCTGTTTTCAGAAGGAATTGTATCGTGACTTATCCTGATATATTTAATATAATAGATATAAACTTCATTCAATGAAGAATTTGTTGCGGACTGCCAAAGTGTGTTGTATTTATTTTCTCAAATGAAACAGTGTGCCCCCTCCCACCCTGGATGAATATACAGTAAACGAATCTTGCTACATTGCGAATGACCTCCCATGAATTCATTCAGCTTGACAGCCTAGCCAGTTAGTTCAACGCGTACGTGCACTAGGTCAGAGTTAAAAGAAAATGTTTGCAGGAGCTCCTCAATTTTTTTCTTCATCGTGGAAAGGGATCCACGCGTGAAAACGTCACTTCAGTTTATTGTTAGAGGGAAATGCCTCTTGTTGTCAAATGCCCACGCGTTTCTGAATACAGCTCTCACACAGTAAATGCAGATGTGGAAAAAGCCCTAAAAGTGTGTGAAACCACAGTCGTTCAGCTGAGTAGAATCATCAATCAGTAGCGTTCACATGACAGAATTAAACGATCCACTTTTTTATTTTAATTGTGGGGGTAAGTTAATCACGTCCTGGCACGGGCTGCATTTTTCCATGCATTCCAAAACAAATGTATATAACACATCTTATTTCTTAACCATATAAATAGTAGTTTTAATTCAAAATACTCAAATATTGCGTGAGCATGGCTTTATTATGCATTATTATTATTATTAATTGCTGCGTTGTTTGTTTTTTCGAATGTTACATAAAACGACGTTTTGAGTCACAATTGCAAGACGTTCATTAATTCTGCATCCATTAAAGCATCCTGGTGTACATTTTGCACCATTTTGCAATTTATACTTATAACATAATGAAATGAAAATATAATGTTTACTTGAGTACTTTAAAAGCGTGTGAGCATGGATTCTACGCATCTTTATCTTTTAAGACAATTCTGAATTTTAAAATGTTTTAATCTTCCAAAGTAGCTGTCAGCGTCATTTCTAAAACCGATAAGAAGCAAAGCAGTTAAAATATACTTGTCCTAGTTTGAACAAAATCTTTTCTCATGTTTTAAATAAACTATTGCAGATGGAAAATTCATGTTTTCAGTGGATAGGTGGTACCACTGTTAATGTTGCACTTGGGATATGAGCTAATGCAATTTACATCTGTTAAGCATCAAGAGATTAAAATTGCCATTTACGTTCCTGTGCTACAACAGAATGTCACAACAGCTGCACACACATTTGGCTTGCAGAGTTAATGGGGAGCAGTGTAAGCTGAGCTTTCACATGTTTAAACACTAAGGGAGGAAGAAAGCAATATTCAAAACCAACAGGATGTGTTTCTGATAAATTGTACAAGACAAAAAGAAAGACAATGGAAAAGATGATGTCATTCTAGAAGACAGACTAATTGTACATCAACAAATAATCCCATTTGATAGCAGTGTGAGCCATTTCGGTTTTCACAAACTACAGTCATCTATATGGAAGCCAGAGCCAGGTGCTGTACATTTAAATATTGTTTTGCAAAGACAGATGTGCAGTTGCAATTGCACACATTATTATAGTTGCTTTTCTGCTAAAGCAATATAATCCATAAATAAACCAGAGCAGGTTGAAATGAATCAATATGTTTTACTAAATGTACGTTCTTGCATTTAGCATGTGTATTTGAATATATCTTGTGCACATTCCATGCTGTTCCATTGTGGAAAAAAAAGTGACAGGATAAATAAAATGTTTTAACTGGGGTGAGATCCATAAATCCATTATCCTGGGGATTAAACTGGCGCCCACTGGTCAGTCTTGTGTTGTGACAGGCTTTTTAAAAATTTGACTGACATATACAAGCCACAGATGAAAACACAGAACCCTTACCTTTGCTGGGTAGTCAGGTGGGAAACAATAAACTGTTTCTTAAAAAAAAATAAAAGCCACCTCCTACAGCCTAGTTCACAGAATTACACCTTTACAAACACAAGAGAACAGCGCAGCTCTCTCATTTAAACATGCGTGATGTCTATTCCTTATTCTTTAAAAGTAAGTTTCCCAACAAGTAAAGGTACTTTGTTTCAATACTGCAACCTACAGAACTGGAGGGATTGATTTTTTTTTAAGGATTTGAGAAGTTATTTTCAGAAGCAATTAATTCCATTAGCATCTGTTTGAGTGACATCAGTAGTGTCAGGTTAAATTCCCTTTACTAGCAGAGATTTACATTCCTACGCCACAAGCACCATATTTTCTTTTATATTTAGTAATGTTAATAATAGGGTAAAGGAACTATATGTGGAATAAACAGAAATACCAGTACAATTGAAAGGATTTTAGTATCTGTTGATCCTAGGATCATAAATAGAGGCAGAGAGAACAGATAACTGAAGCATGTGGAAAAGAAACTTGATCAGTTTGAAGTGTCTTTCTCTACTCAAGTCTTAAAAAACATCAGCAGCCGGTGATGTATACCACAATTTTCATTGTATATGCGTATTTGCAAGTGATTAAGTTAAATATTAAGTTACAGTACATATTGTTCAAAAACTTAATCATAATGTCTTGATTAATTTCGTAACTGAAACTGTGGAAATTTAAGCTCCTAAGTAGTTTAAACACAAGGCCCTTAGTTTTTATTGTACACATTTTACAAGGCATTCTCAGCATTTATGAGTAAACAAACCCTGATTAAGACTATTATTGGTTATACAAAGAAGGGTGGGTTAGGATAAATAAAGCCAGAAAGTCTTAGCACAGAGATTCTCATTTTTACCTGGCAACCACATTTGTCTTTGTAATTTTTAGGGAAAGCAGCACGTTTTAACAAAACATATGTTACTGTTTTATAGTTCCAAAATGAAAAGGACCAGTCTTGATCTGTACTGTTAATAATACTGTTTTGTACTAACCACCCTCTGTTTTTACTGGGCTGGGCATGGCATTGTTATTATCCACAGTCACTATGAATAAGCTGAGAGAGCCAACTCCCTGAAGCGGCCAACTGTGTTAGCACAGAGTACTGAGCAAGTCCAGCAATCCACCATAGTGGAATAATGTACAGCTCACGCAAGCAGTTCTCATTTTAGCACAGAGGATGAGGCACCTAATTAGTGTTATTAACACTACAGGGGTAATCTTCTGCTCTCTATTAAAGACACAACAATTTTTTTTCTGCATAACACGTCAGCACCCAAGTAAGAGTTTCCAGATCCCTTTGACATATTTGTTTAATTTATTGCTGGTTGTTGCTTTCAGCTTCAGTAGATATCATCTTTGCTTGCTGGGCAACAGCGTGCAAAATTCACTGCTCATGGCCGTCCAAGTGTCTTGCAGTCTTCTGTATATTCTTTATCACAAAGTGGGTTTAATGATCCTCTTTTCTCTTCCTGGTGAAAAGGTCTCTGTAGAGACTCAGAGTAAGGCTTAATGGATTGTGATTTTCCAATGAAACCTCCTTAGAGTTACTGTACTGGTAATGTGCACTGCATGCATAATGTTTCTTGGCCTCTTCAGGCAGGAATAAAGTTAAAAAACAGAGTTATTAAGGTAAAGATGCAGGAGTGTTCTTTGGCAAACCTAAGAGAGATTGCTTTGGTGAGGCCTCTGTCCATTCATCTGAATGTTCTCTGAAAGATGATTTATTTATTTCTTTTGGCAGTGTAACTTTTATCTATGTCAATCACAGCTGTCACTGTCACCGTTTTATATCAGAACCCTGGTTTAGCAAATGCATCCTCCGAAACAATTTCCTCTTTGCTGATGTCCCGGAATAATAAGTGGTCTCCAACTGGTGAGAGTCTAGAAGCAGAAGGCACACACAAACCCCATTTGGTGGCCTGCAGTGATCAAAGTGATTCTCAGAAATTGAAAGTGTTGGTATTGCCAGAGGATTTAATCCTTTATTTAACACCGGGTGGTCCGGTCTTGTTATTTGTTCAGGTTTTTTCTATCTGTATAAAGCAATGGTACCTGAAGAGCTAGGGAAAATTACCAATCATTGGTTCACTTAAGTCAGAAATCATCTAATCTATTTCATTAAGAGCTGAGTTGGAACACTATGTAAACACAATAGCCTGGTGATGTAACAGCTTCCCATCTGGTGTCCCAGAAAATAGGGTGGAATAGGGGCACAACAGATTGGACAACCTGGAACAGGGAAGCAGTCAACATGTTAAGGAAACTGTTCTTCACAGATCTGCTAATATGTGTATATATAATACAGGGCATAGTGTCTCAAGCTAGTCACCACACATCCAAAAACCACGCC